AAAGCAAAACATATCCTTATCTGCCCTGAGCTTGGCCCATTTGTTCTTTTCCTCCTTCCTGATCATGCTTTTAACCCTGCATTTCAGCCTTTGTTCATGCTACAGGAGAAATGACCCACCTCCATTTTTTGTGCTCTTAGGCCCATTTTACCATGTCTTTGAAACTTAGTTCTTCAGGCAGAGGAGGTTCTTGCTCAGGATTTCCCCTTTTAGCTTTAGTGGTCTATGTGGGCATGCATTCATTTCTGTATACCCTGCCAGTTTGTAAAGCCAGCCTCGTAACTGCTTGTGCAGTCCCCTCTTTGCATGCCTTACATGCAGTAAATGTTGTATGAATGTTTGTCTGAATAAAAAGAACGTACTTTATGCTTTTCAGCTGTTATGCTGCAAGTGTATGTTACTCTGTTTGCGTTCACAATTTTTCAGTTATTCAAATTCATGCTTGGGATGACCTATTTATTTGCTGAGTGTCTGGCTTCATCCAAGGACAACATAAAGTAGTTAATCTTCAAGAACCAGCTTCTAATAATGTTGGCTTGGTTATTAAGTACCTGCTAGGGTCATTTTCTATCTTGGACAAAACAGAATTTTGTCATAGGCTTTGCTGTTTCTGAATATAGATTAAGTTCTAGGTTTTGACAACATCACTTTATATACTACTGCAATTCATGAATCATATTCCCAAATACTAAAGATGCAATATAATTTTATTTTTTATTACAGCCTCAGCACAGTGACTTCCAAATTATTACCACTAAATGAGATATTGTAGAACATTTAGACTATTGGTCTGTTTTTAGGTCATGCAGGCATTTGATGACTCAGAGAGGTATTGTAGATACATGATAACTAGGGAGGAAGCAAGTATGGAGCCATAAACACCACAAACAAAGAGCAAATCTAGATTTTGCTCTTCAGATAGTACTATGAGTTGTGTATGTGTCTTCTACATTTGTGTGCCAGCTATTTTCTGCTCCAGTTCTTTTTTTTTTAATTTATTTTTACTTTGTGTGTGTGTGTATGCCATGTATACAAGTATCTGTGTCCTCTGAGGCCAGAAGACAGTGTCCAATTCCTCAGGAGCTGGAGTTATAGGCAGTTGTGTGTCACCATGTAGGTGCTAGGAAGTAAACTTGGGTCCTCTAGGGGAGCAAAAGCCATTCATAATCACTGAACCATCTCTCCAGCCCCTTCCAGTTCTTCTTTAATATTTTTGTCTTGAAAGACTGACTTTAGGGTGAACTGTATATGCCCTGGGGTTGGGGAGAGCAAGACTAAGAACATGTGGAATGATTTTCCTGTCAGCTAACCAACTAAATTAGTCTAATTTTCTAATGCTTTGCCTCCTTTTAAATAATCAACTCCAAATAAATCACAGTATTTCTCCATAGAGTTATTTATTGTGAGACATTTGAAGCATCCCATGCCTGTCTTTCTAAGCCAGCTATTTTTTTCCTAAGGAACATTCTAAGCTAAAAACCATTATGCTCCCCCTGTAATTTTTAAAGTTTGAAATTGCAACTCAATACTGGTTTGGTTCCCACCATCTCAGTAAGGCAGCAGGTTTTGTGGGTTAAGGCATATTTTAATCTTTCTTTGCTTTTCTCCCTCCTCAAATTTATTTTTAAAAGAAAAATATTCAATATATCTAATACAATACTGCTTAGAAATAAAGCTTCTTAGAATATGCAAACTCTAAATCTTGTTTGGATTTGTACCAATGTATCAGAGTGGAAAAATTGGACCTGAAACATCACTGAGATGTCCCAGCTCCATTTTCCAAGTTTTTGTAAACCTCTCACCCTATCACTGCACCACTTGGCTCCCCTAGGACCTGGTTCTTGGCAGTCTAGTTCCTTACACTTTGGGAGACAAGCCAAATGACATGTATTTCCAACAAGTTGGTAGAGCAATTTACAGAGTCTATATGGGCATCTAGTACTTAGCTAAATGAACTCTACCTCTCTCTCCTCTCTCTCCTTTCTCTCTTTCAGCTTGGCAGTGACCTTGGCGGGGGCATTGGAGGAAGTCCGGCAGTAAGTGCCATCCATTTTTTTCACCATGAGAAGCGCTGCCCCGTTTGATGCCTTTCCTTTGCACACATTATCAGACCAGCCACTGATGCTGTCTAGGACTACACATCAAAATCTCTAGAGCAGTAATGAGATGTAGAAAGTAGTATAGGACTACTTGGAATCTTTGAGGTCACATGCCACATGTTTTCTAGGGACATCTTTAGGGATTGATGCTGTGGTGCCTGTAGAGATCTTTGTGTTTCTGATGTTAAAGAGCTGAAGGAAGTGGAACTTCCCATCTTGATTGCAGAATGCTTTTATTCCCTGGTGTCATTTAGAAAGAACTTGAGAGAGTCGGCTGGATTCACAGAGATTCTCTCCTCGTAGATGAGGTCATTTAGGGATGTGACTATCATCTCCCTCAAGAGAGCGTCCTACTACATATTTATGCTTAAATGGGAAGTAACACTGGCCAAACCCAAGTGGAAATGGAACTGCTGTTTAAGTTGGATGCTTCTCCCTCTTTCTATACAAACAAATTCCTCTCTAATAGGGTACTTGTAGGACTTGTGCACAGAACCATGGAAGCTAAGGTTGGAAACAAACAGACAAAACCTTAGATCACTGTGTTCCTGTGTCCTGCTGAATACTGTGCCTTGTCAAAGCTTCTGAAGAGTGTGCCTGTTTTATCAGTGATGAAAAAAGTAATTGTGATTATTTTTTTAAAAAGCAAAGAATATACTAATTTGATTCTTAAGACTATTTTAACTGTGGTGTTTTCTAGATTTATCAACACTGTTAAAGTAACATTTTAAGGGCTATTAATTTGTGCTTTCTAATTTCTTTCCCTTTTTCCCCTGAAGGTAGGACAGTCCTTCATCCCGTCATCAGTGCCTGCAACCTTCGCTCCCTCACCTACTCCTGCTGTGGTCAGTAGTGGTTTGAATGACCTATTTGAACTTTCTACAGGAATAGGCATGGCACCTGGTGGATATGTGGCACCTAAGGCGGTAAGTAGTTAGGATTGCAATGCTTTCCACAGATTACTTTTAACTTTTGTGTTATTTCCACTAACAGGAATTTTGCTCTTGTTCTAGAAGATTTATGAGGAAAGTTAAAGAGGATTTATAAGGAAAGTTAAAGGTAGCTTCAAACTTAAATAGGAAACACCACATCCTCAGTAGACCTTTTTTTTTTTTTGTCTTTTTGAGGCAGGGTCTCCTTGTAGCCCCAGCTGTCCTGAAACTCACTGTGTAGACCAGGCTGTCCTCGAACTCACAAAGATCTGCCTGCCTCTGCCTCCCAAGTGCTGGGATTAAAGGGGTGTACCACCATACCCGGCACTCAGTAGATATTTTTATAGTTAGACTTAAAATTGGAAATATTTAATATTTAATTATTGGCCCCATGTTTAGAAATATTGTCTGGTTTGTCAGCATTATAGTACATGTAGTAAAAATCTGGTATATAGTACATCAAAAAGACAGATACATTAGGGAAAAGTAGCATTTTCACCTCTCCTTCCTTTCATTACCTTTTCTTGTTTGTACTACACATGGATTCTAGAGTGCAGTTCCTCAAATTTGGTTTTCATAGGTTTTAGTATACCTCTTTTCATTTTTTGAGAAAGCATCTTTATAGCCCAGGCAGGCGGGAAACTCGTGATCTTCATCAGGCCTCCCAGGTGCTGGAATTATAAGTGTATGCCACTGTTCTATACAGAGAATGATATGTAATAGCCATACTTGTGACTTCAAATGATTGAGTTTTATGTAGCAAGCAAAAGTAAAAGAGCAAAGAGCACATAAATAGCAGATAGATAGCAAAACATCATCAAATCAGGCCCTCGCGTCATCCAGCAGAGACAACTGGAGTAGCCCAATTGAGAGAGCAAGCAAAGTAGCATCATCATCTCAGGCACTTACAATATCAGGCAGAACTGACTAAGGAAGTCTTGCTGAAAAAGTCATGCTGGAACTCCTGACAGATTTCAAGGCAGAACAGAGTTCTCTGCATGAATGAGTTTCTGACTTCTCGTTCCCACTGCAGGTACTTTTATACCACAGGATAAACAGTAACCTCTGCTGGAAAGTTTACCTTCTAGCTGTTCTCAGGAATGCAATTTTTAATATCCTTAGTTTACTGTTCTTCCTGTTACAGAGGAAGGAGGCCAGCCTGGCCCAGGACAGGGTTTGGAGGGCACTTAAATTAAACATGCTTGAGTCTGAGACAAGGCTGCATCCTCACTCCCAGAGTCCAGTTTCAACAAACACAAACAGCATATGAGAACTTACCAGTATAAGGTCTCAGTATATTATAGTCACTTTGTCCGCTTTAGTGTACCTCTTCAGAGTACCTCTTAGCATCCCCATTTAGCTTTGTGTCGTTAGGACTCTTCCACCCTCATCTTGCTTGATGTCACTCAGATGGAAATTTAAGATGGGAAACTCTGTGAATGACGTTCATTTAAGCTCTTGGGAAAGGTACCAGCCAGCCAAGCTGTGTATAATCTTGCTTTTCTGAGGACTGGCATTCCTGATTGCACAACTTAGTAGCTTTGTTGTAAGGTCTACTATGTTAGATATAATCCCCCAAAAGACTTTATCAAAAAGTTATCAGATGTATTCATCAGCATAAAAACTATATCTACAAATACCCAATTAAAGTAATGTACAAATACAAGGCAGAAAATGAAGTCTTTTCCTGTTCTCATTTCCCCACATATAGTCACTGTTAACTTTCTTTGTATATTTTCCAAAACAAAAAGGAAAGACCATGCAGATACCTATGTATTTATTATATCATTTGCAATTGCTCAGTGGAATTTACTCCTTTGCATCTTCTTTTATCATTAGCACATTCTTTTGAATGGCTGTATCCATCATATAAACCATAAACCATAATTTATTATTCTCCCATTGCTGTGCATTGAAGTTATTGCCTGGTCCTTCCCCCACTCTTTGTTATTGTTGTAATGTTGCAGTGGGCATTCTTATTGTGTGTATATCCTGGTATCAGCTCACCACCAACAAAATGGAAGGGTATCAAACCCTAGCCTGTCATAGTCTCTTGCTGGATATTACTGTGTTTTCTTTTTAAATTTTTGACCCTCTGATAAATGGAAAAACGTATCCTATGTTTATCCTTTTTCTTAGTGTGGATAAGCATTATTTACTCCCTATAAACTCTTCAGTATTCTGTCTTAGGTCAGGAAGGCTGTTTCCTAGTTTTGTTGTTATTTTTTTTTAAATAGTATGAACCAAGAATACCATGGGTTCTGGAGCTAAGGGTGGGTAGTCCATTTCATAGAGAAAAGGTATTACTTCAGTAACAGCTGAGTATTTACTGTTTATTAGAAATGAAAAGTGGTTTTAATATAATCCATGGTCCTTGCCATTGAGGGGCATGCTGATAATGTTGAAAATGTCCTTGACTGCAAATGTGTGATTTTCATTAGTAGATTCAGTTTATTCCCTTAAAGTGTTTTTTTTCTTCAAACCTAACAAAAAACGTACTCACCAGAATTTCTCTTTCACTTTATATGCATTTGGTAGTAGGACTTAAAAACAATAAAATGACCAAGTTGAATAGAAGATAGAGAAAAGGCCAGAGTTGCCCATAGAGTTTTAAAAATGGTTTTTAAATGAGTGAGAATGATTTTAAAATTCAGTAAATACTACTTTATTCAGAGTCTTTCACATTGACTTAGAATTTATAATATAAAGATCACCATAAATACCTGAAGAAGAGTAGTGTTCATTTCAGCTTTGTATGTTGAAAAAAAAGTAGCATCAAGCTAAATCTGTCTTTCCTTGGCTTTATACTACATTTCAGGTCTGGCTGCCTGCAGTAAAAGCTAAAGGCTTGGAGATTTCAGGAACATTTACTCACCGCCAAGGGCACATCTACATGGAAATGAACTTCACCAATAAAGCTTTGCAACATATGACAGACTTTGCTATCCAGTTTAACAAGAATAGGTAAGAAACATGACTCCCTAAGCTTGCTGTTAAAACAATACTGTACCTTGTCTTAAATAAGAGAATGTTCTGTCGGACCTGGTGGCCCAGGCCTTTGATTCCAGCACTCGGGAGGCAGAGGCAGAGGCAGGCAGATCTCTCTGAGTTCAAGGCCAGCCTAGTCTACATAATGAGTTCCAAGATAGCTGGGGCTACAGGGAGACCCTGTCTCAAAAAGATCAAAAAAATAGAGAGAGAGAGAGAGAGAGAGAGAATGTTCCATTCAACAAGGTAAAATCTCATGTTCACAAATACTAAATGTAGAGTAAGTCCTGACTCTTGCAAATGTAGTCAACTGTCCACCTCAGCTCTGGAGTAGAAAACCAGAAGTATGGACTAGGGGTATATGGGGGTATAGCTCAATGGTAGAACACTTGGCTAGTATACACAAAGCCCCATGTTAGAGCCCCAGGAACACGCACACAAACACACACACTCTGTCTCTCTCACACACACACAAAGGTAAAATGTTTCAGAAAATAAGACTTCTAGTCAAAGCAGGGCATGGTGGCACATTCCTGTAATCCTAGCATTTAGGAGGCAGAGGCAGGAGAATCAGGAGTTCAAGGTCATCCTCAGCTATACAGTGAATTGGAAGCCAGTCTGGGCTACATGAGACCTGTCTCAAAAAAACAAAAACAGGCTGGCAAAATGACTCAGTGGTTAAGAGCCCTTGCTGCTCTTCCAGAGGGCCCCAGTTCAGTTCCCAGTACCCATGTCATATGGCTTACAACCACCTGTAACTCCAGCTCCAAGGGATCAGACTCCCTATTCTGGCCTCCACAGGCACATAAACACTGACACAGATACATACACAGAAATCAAAATAATTTTTTTTTTTAAAAACAGAAGCAAGGGGGCTAGAGAGATAGAGCAGCAGTTAAGAACACTGACTAGTCTTGCAGAAGACCTAGGTTTGAATCCCAGCACCCACATGGCAGCTAACAACTGTACATAACTCCAGTTCCAGGGGATCCGACAGTCTCTTCTGTCCTCCACAGGCATTGCATGACATGGGTGCACTTACCTACATGCAGGTAATACACACCTACACATAAAATAAAAATAATAAAACATTTTAAAAATAACAAACAAAAACAAAACACCTTGCAATGAATTAATGAGCAGAACACATAGTTCCCAAACAAAGACACACAAGTGGCAAAAATAATCATTTAAAAATTATTACTGGCCATTTAACATTCTTGACCATTGGGGATGGTCAAATTAAAGCAAATTAAACTACTTTGAGATTTCATCTCACCCCAGTCAGAATGCCTATCCTATCATCAAGAAAACATGGACAACAAATAGTGGCAAGGATATGGGAAAGAGGACCCTCATTCACTACTGGTGAGAGTGGAAATTCAGCCATTTGGAGCAAAGAAACCAGAATAGGCTGTTGTCTGTACTGATCAAGCAAGTTATTAAGCTAGTGAAATAATACCAATTTATTATGCTTTTCTTTACAAACTAAATATTCCTTTTTATTTTTATTTTTATTTATTTATTTTGTCTTTTTGAAGCAGAGTCTCCCTGTAGCCCCAGCTGTCCTGGAACTCACTATGTAGACCAGGCTGGCCTTGAACTCTCAAAGATCTGTCTGCCTCTGCCTCCCAAGTTCTGGAACTACGGGTGTGTGCCACCACACCCAGCTTTATTTTATTTTTTTGAGACAGTGTATATAAGCCAGGCTGACTTCAAACTTGTGATCTTCCTGTATTAGCCTCCCAAATGCTGGAATTATAGGTATACCACCATGCTCACACTCAGAGTAAACACTCTCAAATATAAATATATATATGTATGCATGTATGTATGTGTAAGCATTTTGTTACGTGGTACCTAAATACTAGTCCTTTTGAGACAGGGTCTCCTTGTAGCCCCAGCTGTCCTGGAACTCACTTTGTAGGCCAAGCTGGCCTCAAACTCACAAAGATCTGCCTGTCTCTACCTCCCAAGTGTTGGGATTAAAGGCGTGCGCCACCACACCCAGCCTCAAATATATTTTAAAAGATGCTAAAAATTCTCTTTAGACCCGTTTTTTTTTTTTTTTTTTTTTTTTTTTTGGTGTTTTTGAGACAGAGTCTCCCTATAGCCCCAGCTGGCCTGGAACTCACTAGGTAGAACAGGCTGACCTTCAACTCACAGAGATCCGCTATGCCTTCCCAAGTGCTGGGATTAAAGATGTGTGCCACCATGCCCAGCCAGACCTATCTTTTTAAAAACATGATAAACAGAAGAATCTTTCAGAATCATAGAATTAGTTCTGTCCTTAATGAGTACTTTCTCCCATCTCAAATCCGTGTAATGGAAAGTCATTAGAAGTTATGACATCGTCAATGTTGTAGCAGGTTGGAATTGAGCATTTGTTTCCTGATATTCTTCCACTTGTCTTAAAAACTTTTTTTCAATGGAATAAAAAGCCATTGAAACTTGAAGATGTGCTAAATTGATTAATTTCTGGGTTTTCTTCATCCTTTCCTCAAGCTTTGGTGTCATCCCAAGCACACCTTTGGCCATCCATACTCCACTGATGCCAAATCAGAGTATTGATGTCTCTCTGCCTCTTAATACCTTGGGCCCAGTCATGAAGATGGAACCTCTGAATAATCTGCAGGTCAGAGCTTTCCTTCACTTGGATAACATTTGTTCATATCTTGTTGAGTTTTTTACTTCTATGTTAAGCGGCCCATCTGTAGTTGCTCATTTTCCATTGCTGTAACAAAATACCCAAGTCTGAGTTCTTAAAGAAAAGAGGCTTATTTAATTTAGCTTACAGTTTTGGAGGTTTAAGAGCACAGTGTCAGCATTTGCTCACTCTGGAGAGGGCACTTTGGCTTCATCGTATCATCCATCGTCTCATAGATGGAGTGTGGCAGGGAAAGGTCACAATGGCAAACCTGGAATCCAAAGGGGAGGGCAGGGCCAGTTTGAGTTTTAAAAATATTTTACTTACTATTTTTATTTTATGTATATGAGTATCTTCCCTGCATGTGCGTAAGTGCACCCATGTTGTTAAGTGCCCATGGAGGTCAGAAGAGGGCGTCAGAACCCCTGGAACTGGAGTCAGGATCCGTTGTTAGCTGCCATGTGGGAATTGTACCCAGGTGTTCTTAACTCCAGCACCAGTTTTGACCATTTTTTTAAAAATAAAAACGTACCCTTGCAAGACCTAAACAATATTTCACAAGACTGTCCTTACTGTCTTCCAAAGGCAGTGTTCACAGTGGCTTAACTATCCCCATTGCTTCATCTCAACTCCAGCTCACTAAGGACCTGCCCTCCCAACACATGAAACCTTTAAGGAAAGACCTCTTTGTTTAGGATAAAGTTGGTAATGAAATACTTTGAAATAGCTTTGTGGTTAAGAGTTTTATTTTGCATTTAAAAAAAGATCATGCAGTGACTTAGCTATTTTAGAGGCAAGAAATATTTAAAAATTGGTTTAACCTGACATCAAGCTCTTCATTAGCTGTGGATAACCATGAACTTCTGATTCTCTTGGCTCTACCTTCTCTGAGTGCTGAAATTGCAGGCATATTCCAGCCTGCCTGGTTTATGAGGTACTGGGGATCTAACCTGGCTTCATGCATGCTAGGTAAGCGCTCTTATCAACTGAGTCTCTGTAGAAACTTTTTTTTTTAAGGTTCTTATTTATAGACTTTTTTCCCTAAAGATTTTCATAGCAAAGTTTAAATGTGACTTATATAAAACTAAATTTCCAAGGAAATGTGTATGGAGGCTATCTTTGAACCCTGGACCATATAGTAGCTGTATTATTGTGGATTTTTTTTTTTTTTTAAAGACAAGGTCTCCCTGTAACCCCAGCTGGCCTGGAACTTGCTCTATAGACCAGTCTGGCCTCAGTCTCACAGAGAATCACCCATCTCTGCTGGGATCAAAGGTGTGCACCACCATGGCCGGTTGTTACTTGGATTTAAATGCCCCCATAAGTAGCAGTGTCTTAGAGGAACTAAGAACAGTTTTATCAGATTACCGGAGCCTTTGGATTTTGAAATGTTGAATTGTTTAGGATGGTTAGATACTAGTTTAAGGTTTAAATTACTTTCATGTATCTTGAATTCTCTTTGAAAAATATAAACCTGTGGGGTTCAATCAACATGAAGATAAAAGTAGTAATCTCTTAAAATGTACTGGCCCTGATGGCTATTAGCACAGCGGTAAGCACTAAGGATTATGAGGTTGCTTTGTTTGGGGAGTTTTATATTGTTTTTGCTTTTGAAATAGTCTCAAGTAACCCAGGCTGGCTTCAAATTTGCTGTGTAGTTGAGACTTCCCTTGAACTCTTAATCCTTCTGTCTCTACCTCCCACGTACTAAGCTTACAGGTATGTACTGCCCTACCTGATCCTTTGGCTTGGTCTGATTTGGCTCTTGGAACAAGGTTTTGCTGTGTTTCTCAGGATATCCCTGATCTTGCAGTCAACTTCCTGAGTAGTTGGGATGGCAGGAGTATACCATTGCCTCCAACTGCGATTTGGGTTTTTAATTCATACATGTATAAGAGAGACATTCTTGGGCTGACTTGAGGTGAGGAACTAAAAAATATTTCTACTGTCAGGAAATAACAAGAAAGTTTCTCTCTGAACAGAGTTTGAGTCTGTGCTATGCCTGCGCTCATAGTCTAAATTTATACTAGTACAAATTTAAATGTAGTGATTTCCAAATCAATAAGGTAAAATTGATCTGGAACTGGTGAAAGTAATGTGCTTGGCAGAAGTACATGGAAAACAGCTATTTAGCAGGAGCTCTAAAGTTTAGGATTATTAAGTCTCCCAGCCATAAAGAAAGTATATTGAAAATGGGCTTACACTTTTATCAAAAAATTAAAATACAAGCCAAGTGTGGTGGCTCATGCCTTTAGTTCCAGGACTCGGAAGGCAAAGGCAGGTGGATCTCTGTTAGTTCAAGGCTAGCCTGGTCTACATAGTGAGTTCCAGGACAGCTGGGGCTACAGGGAGATCCTGTCTCAAAAAGATAAGTAAGTAAATAAACAAATAGATAAATAAATACAGAGAAAAGATATATTAGAAAAGACAGAAGATACAGCAGAGCATTGCTCTCTCCTACCTAGTAATTGAGATAGAATAATCTTTTGTTTGGGTTGTTTTTTTTTTTTTAATTTTTATTTTATGTATATGAGTATATTTCCTGCATGTATCTAAGTGCACCATGTCATGGAATGCCTGCAGAGGTCATAAGAGAGTGTCAGATCCCCTGGAACTGGAGTTATGGATGTTTTTTAGCCACCATGTGGCTGCTGGGACTCGAACCCAGTTCCTCTGTAAGACCAGCCAGTGCTCTTAACCACTGAGCCATCTCTCTAGCCCCAAGATAATAGATTGATTTCAGTGAGACTGTGAAATATATTTAATAGAATGGAGGAGAAATATTAACCATCCACTTTCTAGTCAAGACAGATAGGATCCCATTGCTCCATCTTCTAAAAGTAACCAGTGTGAATAGTAGTACTGTTGGTGAGGCAACAGTAAATTTCCTTGAAGCTAAACATTCTTCAGCAGTTTAGACACCAGCACTCATTCTTGCCTGTCAATTCACCAGCTACCTTGTTGCCACAGTAGTTAATTGCTTCCTTTTTCAGCACAGAGTATGGATTTTTAGGGAGTTGACAAGTGAGTCACAATGTAACTTGGCTGAAACTGGAAGAATTAAAAACTAGGGTTACTATCAGATGGGATTGGCTGGTCCTGTGATGAGAGTAATGTGTTAAAGGGGCTTTTTCAACTCATAGTCCTCAAGTAACTAACCCAAATAGGCATCTGTTCTCTCTTCTTGAAGCCTAACCTCCCATTGATCCACTAAGCCCCAAGCATAATAGTTGAGGACAGTTAGCATGCATGCATGAATGCTTTCCTTCAGAAGTAGAAAAGGAAATTTGGGTCATAGAAACCAGGGCAGGTTCTCAGTTCTTAAGAAGGAAATAAACAAAGGCACATTAATGCACTTTCCTATTTGCATTTCTGTTTTGTTAAATCCCAAATGGGTACCCCACTAAAAGAAATTGGATCTTAATCCAACACCTCCCTTGAAAATATTGATACAATATTGAGACTAACAAGTTTTACTTTTCACAAACCCCATGTTATAAAAAGCAATCTTAAAAAATTTATGTCTTGCCGGGCGTGGTGGCACACACCTTTAAATCCCAGCACTGGGAGGCAGAGGCAGGCAGATCTCTGTGAGTCCAAGGCCAGCCTGGTTTACATAGTGAGTTCCAGGACAGCTGAGGCAACAGGGAGACCCTGTCTCAAAAAGACCAAAAAAAAAAAAAAAAAAAATTTATGTCTAGAACTGGGCATGGTGGCACATGCCTTTAATCCCAGAAAGAGGCAGGCGGAGCTCTGAGTTCTAGGCCAGCCTGGTCTACATAGCAAGTTTCAGGCCAGACCGGGCTACTGTCTCAAAAAACAAAACCAAAAAAATGTATATCTGGGGATTGGAGCTGTCACTTACCTAGATATCTCTTACAGGCTGTGGGTTCAATGCCTTATCCCCTCCAATTCATCTGTAATCCACTACTGATTCTTCAAGTTTTCCTCATGGCTTCCCCTCTCTTGGGGTATCATTCATTATGACTCTGTTATTGGCATTTCCCAGTGGTGAAGACACACAAAAACTTGAAGAAGCTTTTATCCCTTCTGTTCAGACAGGTTGAAACTAATGACTAGCTTAAAATGAGTGAGGTACTATAGATTTCAGCTTCTATTCTGTTCTTATGTCGGTGTGAGCAAGAAGAATCAAAACTGAATTCCAGTAAGATTAAACCAAATAGCCAAAACTATAATATATAAAGTACTATTATAAAAGCTTTTCATTAAAATGCTTATTAAACTGCATATTCATTACAGTATTAGTATAAAATAGTAGAGGATAAAAAACATACCATTCCTTTGTGTGTGAGTGCGTTGGGTGGTATATGTTCATCTGTGTTTGTACATATGTGTATGTAAGTGCATGTGTGCTCATGTGTCCACTAGTCAGCATCTACCTTATTTTGTAAGACATGATCTCTCACTGAACCTGGAGCTTGTCAATTTGGCTAGGCTGGTTGTCCAGTGAGCTACAGGAATCTACCTGGCTCTCTTCCCCCAACTTTGGAGTTACAGACATGTGCCTTCATCCTGGCTTTTTTGTATGACTGCTAAGGATCAAGTGCAGGTCCTTCCAGTCCCCACTATTTGTGTGTGTGTGTGTGTGTGTGTGTGTGTGTGTGTGTTTGCATGTTCTGGAATCGTTTCCTCAGGAGCTGTTCACCTTGTTTTATGAGACAGAGTCTTATTGGCTTGGAGCTTGCCAAGTAGACTAGGCTGACTGGCCAGTGACCCTACCACCTGTCTTTGCCTCCTGATTTCTAGTATTAAAAGCTGCCAGGGCTGGAGAGATGGCTTAGCAGTTAAGAACACTGGCTGTTCTTGCTGAGGACCCAGGTTCAAATCCCAGCACCCACATGGCAGCTAACAACTGTCCGTAACTCCAGTTCCAGGGGATCTGACAGCCTCTTCTGTCCTCTGCAGGCATTGCATGACACAGGTGCACTTACCTACATGCAGGCAATACATGCATACACATAAAATAA